CCTGTCTAAACTAGAGACAATAATATAATACAAGATGGCAGTGTCGTCTAAAGTACACCTACAATGTTGTTTATAAGTAAATTATTTAGGGTATTAAAAGCCTTCAATAAAGGTTCAAGGATAAGCAAAAGCAATCTTTCTATTATTTTTTAAAAAAAGGTGAAGTAAAATAAAGTATAGAGATCAAAGTTATCAATCATTAGAGAAAATCATTGAATACTCCCATTGTCAAGATTAAAATAAAACATTTAAACGAACAACACTAATTTTCGATTAGACCTTCTTCAGGCTTTACTCTGATGTACATAGCTTTATATATGTAAGAATTTAACCAATAACGATGAGTTTGTGAATAAAAAATAATGGTAAGTTTTAAATATTGCTGCTGCCAACGTTTGTTTGTCATTTTCCAGCCCGACCAATTATCGTTGCTGAAGTGGGATGATTAGTCACTCAAGTTGTGCCACTTCTATATGCATTTACAAGTTTAGTTGTTTCTTCAGAAAAGCCTGCATAGGGTAAGCGACTAGACAGTTCAACAAATACATTACTGAGCATCTTTCTTCACGGTTCAGAAGAGCCCAGACAAAATCCACAAAAACATCTATTTTGTGTCATTTGATTGATAGCACAGTGATCATCAGGTGGATGGAAGAATTTCTATCAAGGTTATCCATCGAATTGGTTTTTTACACATAGTCGAAGCTATGGAGATTTCAGAGGGTAGTCCTAGTCTTTGTATATAAAAAAGTTTCTTCCACCTCTCTCGTAGCCTAGGTAAATCTAATTAAAACTTTCCACCCTTTCATATTCTACAATTCCTCCATACTTTTATGATATTTATCTAAATTTTGATTACCTACCCACTTCACTTTCAGTATTACGTAACTTTTGAAACTTAACCGAATTTCGAACCCCAGTGGGTGCGTACTGATGAAAAGTCCCAAACTAGGACGAAACAGCTCTCCAGTACTCCCAGCTGGTTTTCCAGTGGTTCTCTAACCAATGTCATCTCATGATGAAATCCTGTAACCAATCAACCAAATCCCTACAAACCAACACTTGACCGAGTTTACTTATTAAACTGTCTACATATTTACACATATTACACATACACCCTCGTTATTCTTATCGTCACTTGGATAAACTCTTTGTATTTTTGTTATCACTGACCTTTTTCTCATTATTTTTTGCTATCATTATATAATCATCGTTATTACTAACGTTCAAGACTTTTAATATTTATTATTATTATTTCTGATCCACAAACTCACTGTCATTGATTAAATATTTATATATATATAGCTGTGTACATTAGAGTAAAGCCTGAAGAAGGTCTGGACGAAAACAGTATTGTTCGCTTATATAACTTGTTTTAGTAGAGAAAATATCACGTGACAGAAAAAAAAAATGAAAATTCCATTAACAGTCAAAGTCATCGGGTGAAACAGTTATATTTATTTCAAGTTTGACCACGCATCGATATCAGTCAGAGATCCACATTGAAAACCATCGACACGTAGTACTGAACATCTGTTTCATCCTAGTGTTCTGGAGTCGTCGGCAGTACGCCCCCACTGAGGCTCCAACCTAGGATCTTTCTGCTACAAGGCGAGCTTGCAAACCATTCAGTCACTGGGAGCCAATTCAGTTGCCAATGTCATCCATGGTGAGCATTTATCCTCACCCTTGACTAAGTGGATCCCACCGTCATGGGCTGGAAACCCGGCGGGTGCCTACTGGCGAGGAGTCCCAGGCCCTTGGGTGAAGCAGCCGTCCAAAACTCCCTGTCGGTGGTTTTCACTGGTTCTATAACTGATATCAATCCATGAAATACGTCATATCCATACAAAGAAACTTTTGAAAATTGTTTTGAGAATCCATATACCCATTTCACACCGAAAATATTTTCTAGAAGGATAATGAAAGCTAAGCTTCATAGACAGCCACATTGGAAACTTTTCTTTATATAGTACATGGCGTATTTATTGATTTTCATTTGGGTCATTATTCAAATCAGTTGATTCTACGGCCTTTTACGTTGCTTCCCTTGTCTTATACATAATTTCAAAGCAATGCTGTTTTCTTAAGTTGATATCATACGAAAAGTCAGCGAAAATAAGAATATATTACTGACGTTGCTTACCTATCGCCTTAACAGTGAAACTGTTACACTGAAAAGGAAACAGATGACAACTTGACTTCACAGTTGACATTCTCTTTCTAACCGTATCATGAGAGCTAGGATAACATGCGCTAATTTGAACCACATCTGGAGACGTTATCCTGACTGTCAAATGTCAGGTTTGCAATGCTTTGGTGCATGCTGTCGTGCTCTACGCCTTTGAAACTTGCCCTCTCCAAGTTGAGGATATGAGGTGACTCTAAGTATTCTATTATCACGGTCTCCGTAGAACTGCTTGCGTTCGTTGGTATCATCGTGCGTGTAATTCTGAGGCCTAGCAGCGTGTATTTGCACACAGTGAAGATCACCATTGATTGAGTGTCTTCATCTAGAAACACCAGTATCTGTGGATTGCACGTGTCTTTCAAACGTCATCTAAGAAGTTTCCTTCCCTCTCTCTGTTTGCTAGCCCTGGGACTGGATAGAAAAGTGGAGATGTCATCAGACTATGGGTTGAAGGATATTTGTGTTGGGTTAGCATCAATTAGCACAACAAAACGACTCCCTGGTTGGTGTCCGAGACACAGTTCGAATAGGTAGCCCGAAATGTTATCAGATTTGTTAGCAGAACATGCTGCAATTTCCTTCTTTCTTCCCTTTGTGACAGTAATACGATGAATGTTGCTTGATCTTGTAAAATATACTTCCTTCCTTTATTCATTCTCTCCCCCATTTTTTCTACATATTGTTGTTTTATCATCATTGTACATCTTCTTGGTACCAATTTTGTACCAGGTTCTGTGTTTTAAACAAATGTAGATGTTCTCTTAATATCATTAGGCGTATTGTAGGGAATGCTATCTTAGGCCTTAATTAGTCGATTCTATGTGACTTAATCATTTCTTAATGTCCTGCTAACGAGAAGACATGATGGGAGTATTAAGCAAGGTATATTCCGGAAAAATCATGGGGTGGCTGATACACCCATTTCGTTCAAGTTGTTTATTGCTATTGCATGCAAACGAAATCTAATCAGTACTCTGATGTTGTTTCGACACTTCACGATGAAATAAGGAAAATAGGAAACTTATTATACGAGAAGGGACATCAAGAAAAATTTATTAAAGTCTCTATGATGAAAAAAGATAGAGAGAAATGCTTGTAAACTGTGCAGAAGAAACGTATATATATACATGACTACCATTCAGAGGAGACTCAAACATTGAATTACTGGCATCGAAATACCGAAAAATAATAGATAAAACAATCTTTTTAAGTTCGTGGAAAATACCCATATGGACATTAGAAAGAAGAGAACACGAAGTTCAGCAAAGATAACTTTTCGGCGATTTCATTCTGAAAAGCTGTACAATCGCATTTATATAGATTATTTTACATGGATAAAATTATTATTTGTTTAATTTCACGTAGTAACGAAGGTGGTAATAATATTCAACTTGATATGATAGTGTGAAGGTACGAATATAGATTAAAAGGGGCTTCGAGACAAGATTTCACAGGATTAGAAAATAGTTACAACGTATACAAATATAAATATCAAATAATAAATAATAATAATAAATTAAAACAATTAGTCCCATTGATAAATTTGAACAAGGCATTAAGAAGACAAATTTCGCGAGATGATATCATTTCGTAGTTTCTTTACAACCGCTTTACAACTAACATGGTTAACAATGATAAAATAAAGTTCATGAAAATTACTCAGTTAAATAAAAACAAAAGTACATACTAATGACCAATCATATTTAGGTAGGTCATGCAGTCCAGGGTAGGCGAAGATTGAAGTCTATTGATTTTTGTACACACAGTTTACGCTGTATGGGATTAATCCAAAGTGCTTCCATCACCTTCAATAACCTTGAATTAGAGTTATGTGAAATAATTGTGAAACAGTCATTAATATTTATTTTGTGACCAGACATTAATATGTGTTTTGCAATGGATGATGCTGGATTTCTATTCAGATTAATCGCGTTAGGATTTTCGATATGATTTACTAGCCATTTTGGAATATGTTCTTTCCGACGACATTGGAACATTCTGTTAGTTCTACCTATATAGGTGTCCCCGCAACTGCAGGTGAACTTGTAGATACAGTTTGAAGTAGAGTCCACAGAATTTCGTCCTTTAATCGTAGGAACAGGGATCGAAAATGTTCGGCAAGTGAGGAAAAGAGATGCGGCGTAGAATGTGCGTTTGATGGCTGACCGAAGTCTTTGAGTTGTCAACTGCATAATCTGGTCGTCCTTGAATGGTAGATTAATGAAGATAGCTTTCTTTGGTACAGAAGCTGTCTTTTCGAGATGTGATTTTTCTTTGCTGTGACAAGTGATAAAGCTCTCCGGATAACCATTAGCTAATAAAACTGAATGTACATGTCGAAGCTCATCCATCAGTGTGTCACTCGTGCATATTTTTCGGGCCCTTGAGAACAAACATTTCACTAGGGAACGTTTATACTGGATAGGGACAAAACTGGTAAAATGAAGATATTGTCCAGTCCATGTTTGTTTACGAAAAATAGAGCACTGAATCGTTCCATCTTTTCTCCTAATCATAGTAATATTCAGGAAACCGAGTTTGTTATTCAATTCTAGTTCGGGAGTCACTCGAATATTTGGATGAATATGATTAAATAGAGTAATGAAATTTTCAATAGATTTACTATTATTACCAATAATAAGAGTATCATCTACATAACGTTTATACAGCATAAATTCTCCAAGCATACCTTGCATTTGTTTCTCTAATTTCGACATAAATATATCTGCTAACAGGGGCCCCAGAGGGCTCATCTTCGCAACACCATCGATTTGTTTATGTCTTTTCTTGGAATGTGAATGTGGATTACGCGCGCGCTGTTTGAAAGGGAGTGCTTTTTTCACGTATTTCACGTTTTTGACAAATCGCTGTTTTGTTGTGTTATTCACTTCAAGAACATTTAAAAAAAACTTTAACTTGACTTTTGTCTGTTAAGTTTTGATTTTAACCACTTATATAGTCTATATTGGGTAAATTGTCTTGGCTGTTTCCAGTAGAAGTTCATTATGTCAAAAGTACCACATAAATGTAATAGGGCGGAGTGTTACTTTTTGGTAGATGATGGAATACAGTGTAATAACTGTGAAAAGTGGTATCATAAGATGTGTACTGGATTACGTCCAGCTGCATACAAACGTTGTACTGCTCCAACATCCCACTGGATGTGCAGAATGTGTTGTTCCCCAAAGATGACCTTAATAAGGGAGGCTCACGAACTGCTGTCTAAAGCCATGGAACTTCCTGATGATAGCGTGGCTAGTAAGAGTGACACGGACTGCCCGTCTGAAGATGAAGCAGTAAGTGCCATCATGAATGTTATCACACCGGCGGTTACTATCCCAGTTACCCCGGAAGTAAAACCTACTAGGCGTTCGAAGCGTCTTAGTAAGCGAAAAGGTAACAAAACGGAAGCTGTAAACAGCATCTCAGAACCAGAGAACACCGTAAGCGAAGTTCACCATGAAGGTGGTGCAGACACTGATCTTGATTGTACCATCAAAAACTGCAGCAGCCCTGAGAAGCAACTGCAGGCAGATGATAAATGGGTAACAAAAATAAGCAGTCGGAAGAAATATAGTAATATTGATGGTAGGCAAACGTCTGTCACCTGTAGCCAGGCTGCATCAATAGTGGTGAGAAAGGACGTAGCCACTGCTAAATACGACAAGCTCTCCTTAGACTCTAACATAATTGTTGGAAATTTGGAAGAGTCCAAAGAATCTGATCCCGTGAAAAGGCACGATCACGACCTTAAATTAGTGAGTAGTATTATAAGGAAGATGCTCCCAGCGAATTTCCCTGGAGTATCGATTAAAAAGCTGATTAGAATAGGCAAAAGAGATGATGAATGTTCTAGTCAGCGTAGGTTGCTTAAAGTAGTCTTAGGTTCTCCTGATGAACGGAATCATCTACTGGCTAATGTACACAACCTTGCCGGGTCAGGAATTTCAGCCAGACCTGATTTATCTCTTGAAGACAGACTTAAACGAAAAGAAGTTTTGTCCCAGCTAGAAACAAGACGTAAAAATGGTGAGACTAACCTTAAACTGGTGGGTTTTCAAATAGTCAGGTCTTGGAAACGTATGCTTCCAAGACCTGTGTGGATAAGCCAGACCGCATAGGAAGCCTGAAGGTAGTGTACACTAATATACGTAGTATCGGGAACAAATTTCACGAGCTAGGTGTATTAGTAGAAGACCTTAGCCCAGGTATTGTGGCCATTACTGAAACATGGCTGGTTTCGGGATTAGATGACACACCTGAGCTATGCGGATTTAGTTGCTTGCGCAGCGACAGAGTTAAGGGTCGTAGAGGTGGCGGGGTTGCTCTGTACATCAACAACTCCCTACATGTTCGTTCCGTGAAATCTGAAGCTCATGACAGTGGGACAGGTGAGGTAATTAGCTGTGAAGTAAGCTTTGCAACCGGCACTCTACTCATTGGAGTTCTGTATAGAAGTCCCTATTGTCAGTGTGATGACTTCATTTTAGATCACCTCAAACAATGGAGTAAACACAGTAGCTGTCTTATTCTAGGTGATTTTAATGCACCTCATATAGACTGGGTAGCTGTCACATCTCCAGGATCCGCTGATAAGTTTGACAGCCGGTTACTCTTGACAACCATGGAAAATGCCCTGACACAACATGTCTTAGGTAGTACAAGATTCGGTTCTACCCAAGGATCTTCCTTGCTGGACTTAGTGCTTACTCATGACAACGACGACGTGGATGGTCTAGTTATTCATCCACCTCTAGCAAACAGTGATCATGGGGTGTTAGATTTTAACTTAAGGGCTGGCAATTTAGTCAGTTTTCAACCCAAATCCCGGCCTAGTGTTTGGCATGCTGACATAGTGGCTATAAAGGAGCGTGCTTCAACTGCCGACTGGTCAGTCAACATTGTCTCATCCATTGAAGATGAATGGGATAGATTTAAGAATACACTTGAGAGGGTTACCACTGATCTCATCCCCTGGAGGGTTCCTAAAAGGCCAACAAATCGGCCACCATGGATAAATAGACAAGCTATAACACTCCTGAGACGGAGAAAAAGGTTCTGGAATCTCTTTGTTTCTACTGGGCTACAGCAGTTCCGGCTGAAATACTGTGAAACCAGAAACCAGTGTAAAACTTTGATCCACCAGTCAAGGATAGCTTACGAAACCCAGTTAGTTAAAAGTTCACCAGGCTGCCCAAAAAGACTCTTCTCATATATCAAGAGAAGAACACGTAAGAGTGATGCTATCCCACCTCTTATGCTTGAAGATGACCAGACAAACATGGCTGAGGATAACTTGACTAAGGCTGAGGCTTTGTCCAAGCACTTTAGTCAAGTATTCTCTGATAATATTGATACCAGCTTTGTAAATTTTCCAGAAGGTAACTTGAAAATGGCACCCTTATACATTGGAAAGGATACTGTCCTAAAGTGGCTTCTAAGGCTCAATCCTGGTAAGTCCAGTGGCCCTGATGAACTCCACCCACGTATATTAACAGCATTGGCTGAAAGCATAGCCGAGCCATTGTCGGTAATCTTCAATATGTCTCTGGACCAGTCTAAATGTCCAAGAGACTGGAAAGATGCCATCATTAGTCCGGTCTTCAAAACCGGATCTAGAAACTTAGTTCAGAACTATCGTCCTGTTAGTTTGACCAGTATTGTTGTTAAACTACTAGAAAGAATAATTCGTGATGCTATCATTCAGTTCATTGAAGGGAACAAACTTTTCGCTGTGGAACAGCACGGTTTTAGAGCAGGTCATTCTTGCTTGACCAACCTTCTTTTGGCCAGAGAAAGTTGGGCAAGCTCAGCTGATGCTAATATACCGGTGGATGCCATATTCATAGACCTTAGCAAGGCGTTTGACAGGGTTTCTCATTCAGGTCTTCTAGTAAAGTTAGGTAGTCTGGGAATCAATAAAGTGGTTACCGACTGGATTCAAGACTTTCTAAAGGACAGAAGACAAAGAGTACGAGTTAACGGGGTTTTATCAACATGGGAATCGGTTAAGAGTGGCGTTCCTCAGGGTACAATTCTAGGCCCACTTCTTTTCCTGATTTATGTTAATGAGATTCCATCGGTAGTTAAGTCATCCTGCTTACTGTTTGCTGATGACATCAAGATATGGAGGGCTTTGCACGATGACAGTGATCAACTTGCTTTGCAGGAAGATTTAAACTTGTTAAGTGATTGGTGTAAGCACTGGGCCTTGGAGATTAACTTAAGCAAGAGTGTAGTTATGCATGTATCCCATAGTCACGTGCACAATTACTCAATGAATGGCATTACTCTCCCAGTGGTCACTGAGTACAAGGACTTGGGAGTGGTTGTGCAGCATGACTTGAAAACAGCAACAAACTGTAGAACTGCAGCCACTAAGGGTTTTCGAATGTTATGGGCCATACGCAAGGCTTTTGCGAACTTTGACGCTGATATATTTCGTATATTATATCCGACTTATATCAGACCTCATTTGGAATATGGGATCCAGGCAGCGAGCCCGTGTTTCAAATACGAAATAGACTTATTAGAAAGGGTGCAAAGAGTAGGAACTAAGCTAATAAAGGGTTTCTCAACCCTGTCATATGAGGAGAGGTTAAGTCGACTGGGTTTATTTCCACTGTCATACAGACGACTTAGGGGTGACCTAATACTAGCATACCGTATCCTAAGAAATGATTTTGGAGCTAATTTATCTAAATTATTTCTTCCTTCTAGCACCAACCAATTGCGAGGACATCACCTCAAGGTTCAAAAACCACGGTCGAATCGTCTGCGTCTGGAAATCCGTTTTTCGCATCGAATTGTGAACCATTGGAACTCCCTACCGGAACACGTCGTATCAGCGCCATCCGTTGATTCATTCAAGGCGAGATTGGACCTCCTGTATGCAATAAATCGAAAGGATTAACACAGGCATATAGCCTACTATCCTAAATAAACTGTATACTGTAATATTTTCTGTACACATTAAGATTATGTCTTTCATGTAAGTGACGGGAATGGGTAAGTTTATGCCGTTGCTTGTGATGTAATCGCAAATAAAATCAACAGTTTCATGAAGGGGAACATTGGTGATTAAAGATTCTACGTCAATTGAACACATAACCTTTTCCTTAATGTTCAAGGTGTCTAGCATTTCTGTAAGATCAAATGAACTTTTTATAGAATGATTTGATAATGAGTCTCTTACAGGCGTAAGGACCTGTGAAATCCATTTGGCGATTTTATGGTAAGGGCCCAAAAAATATGCACGAGTGACACACTGATGGATGAGCTTCGACATGTACATTCAGTTTTATTAGCTAATGGTTATCCGGAGAGCTTTATCACTTGTCACAGCAAAGAAAAATCACATCTCGAAAAGACAGCTTCTGTACCAAAGAAAGCTATCTTCATTAATCTACCATTCAAGGACGACCAGATTATGCAGTTGACAACTCAAAGACTTCGGTCAGCCATCAAACGCACATTCTACGCCGCATCTCTTTTCCTCACTTGCCGAACATTTTCGATCCCTGTTCCTACGATTAAAGGACGAAATTCTGTGGACTCTACTTCAAACTGTATCTACAAGTTCACCTGCAGTTGCGGGGACACCTATATAGGTAGAACTAACAGAATGTTCCAATGTCGTCGGAAAGAACATATTCCAAAATGGCTAGTAAATCATATCGAAAATCCTAACGCGATTAATCTGAATAGAAATCCAGCATCATCCATTGCAAAACACATATTAATGTCTGGTCACAAAATAAATATTAATGACTGTTTCACAATTATTTCACATAACTCTAATTCAAGGTTATTGAAGGTGATGGAAGCACTTTGGATTAATCCCATACAGCGTAAACTGTGTGTACAAAAATCAATAGACTTCAATCTTCGCCTACCCTGGACTGCATGACCTACCTAAATATGATTGGTCATTAGTATGTACTTTTGCTTTTTATTTAACTGAGTAATTTTCATGAACTTTATTTTAACATTGTTAACCATGTTAGTTGTAAAGCGGTTGTAAAGAAACTACGAAATGATATCATCTCGCGAAATTTGTCTTCTTAATGTCTTGTTCAATTAATAATAAATAAATAGATAAATAAATAATATCAAATATTAATTATTTTTGTATACGTTGTAACTATTTTCTAATCCTATGAAATCTTGTCTCTAAACCCCTTGTAAAACAATCTTTACCATAACACTATGTTTAAAATTCACCACTTGTTTTATAATTCCAATGCAGGCGAAAATTAAGCTACCAATTCGAGCCATCTCAGTGTGTATTTATAAATTTATGTGTTGCTGTGGAGATGGTTACACAGATAGAACGACTCGGTAAGCTCACTGTCGCCTTCTTTAGCATTATCCAAGGCGGTTTGATGAAGGAGTCTTAAAGTCAACCAAGAGTTATACATTGGTATGACATGTGGATACAGACCAAATGAATGGTAGAAATCCAGCGCTTACAATTCTATATAAGGTGCCACCTCAATTGCCTTAGTTTGTACGCCTTCGACTGCTAAGCATAGCTTAGGCAGTCGTTAACAAAATCTTTTCAGCCCGATTCTTAAGTTCACAAAAGGTTTATTCCACCTCCCGTCTTTCCGTTGTCGTCAAGCCTAACTTAAAATAGTTATCTCGCCGAGGATCACCAGATAACTGTAAATATTATTTTTATTTGTACTGCTACCTTCATTATCAGTAAAATATTGTGTTACAGTTGCATATTTTAATCTTAGCTTCACAATTTGTTGTTATTGTTATTTTACTTGCATTCTCATCGATTGTATTTGTTTCTACTGATTCACACTGTTTCAAATGTCTATGACTGATATTCTATTATGTAACTGTAAGGCCAATGATTTTCTTGATTGAAGTAGATTGGATAATGCGACAGACAGCGGGCAATGAGAAAACAGATAAAATATGGACTCGCACTAAAAACTTGAAGGATCTGGACTTCGCCGATGATATATGTCTGATTTCCCACAAATTGGAAGATATGCAAGTGAAAAACAACAAGCTGGCCACAGAAGAAGCATCAAAGATAGGACTTCAGGTGAACATAGAGAAAACAGAGATGATGAAGATTCTTGGCCAACACCAGTAACAAGAACAACAACAGATAATAATCAGCATAAATGGGAGGAACCTGAAAGAAACAACCTCCTTCACCTAACTATCTGGGAAGCATCGTTTCAACTACAGCCTGACGGAACTGACAAGGATATAAAAGCAGGAATCGGAAGAGCAAAACAAGCTTTCATTACTCTTAAGTCTGTGTGGAGGTCAAAATCACTCAGCATCAAAAATAAGATCAGGATTTTCAACTCCAATGTGAATTCAGTCAGTGCTACTATACGCTTGGATCAGAGACTTGGCCAGCACGTCATAAAGAGCATCTCAAACAAACTACAGACCTTCATTAACAGTCGTCTTCGCTGAATACTCAAGATCAGATGGCCGGCCAGAAAAGATCAGCAACAGGGATCTCTGGCAATGAGCGAACCAACCAACCAGGAACCGATTGTGAAACAAATATTCAGGAAGAAATGGAGATGGATTGGCCATACTCTGAGGAAAACATCAAGTGACATCATTAGACAAGTCATCGCTCGAGTGGAACCCGAAAGAGAAGCGGCGAGTTGGTCACCAGTGCGAGGGTGACTTGGAGGAGGTGATGTGAGGAGGAGATGAGAGCGTGTGAGCAGACTTGGAGCCAGGTGAAAACGTTGGCATAGAACCGAAAACAATGGAGACGCGCGGCTGAAGCCCTATGTTCTTCTAGGAATTAAAGGAAATAATAATAATTACTGTAAGGCCTGATAAGAATTGACCGAGAATATGTATTTAAGTATTGGTTTGTAGGAATTTGGTTGATTGGTTACAGGATTATTATCATCACCTGACATTGGTTAGAGAACCATTGGTAAACCTGGGAGTACTGAGTATCTCTTCCGTCCTAGTTTGGGACTCTTCTGGAGTACCCACTCACCGGGGTTTGAACCCAGGTTTTCCAATGATTCTCTAACCATTGTCAGCTCATGATGAAATCCTGTAACCAATACGTATTTACTTGGTTAAATCTTATTATTTTTAACTGTTAACAGTGTGTAATGCTAAACAAATTTCTAAATGTCAAGCAATTCTAAGCTGGTGTAATTTTATAACATGAAATTATTGATCTTTAATAATGTCAAATAACCCAATGGTTGTTGAACAACTTTCTTCACAATCAAATTTTCAGTAGTTATTATCAGCAAAGTCCTCGGTATGTACATCTGACCCTAGAGGACATGAACTAGTATTCTCACAAAAATATGCTTATTCATTGAGATGATACAATAAAGATTGCAAAAGAATTTTTTTTGATTTCTACTAATAATAAGTTAGGACGGATTAACTATCTTTGTTAGTCGTAAAGTTATGATTGGTTCATGCGTTGAGATGATAATCTGATTGGACAATTCTTGATTGATTTATTTTTGGAGGATCTTCAAGGTCATGCAATCAATAGGATGTTGATTATCTTCTTGTCGTTAAACATTTCCGTTGATGTATAAACGATATTTTATACTCTGAGTTATTAGGAATAATGGCTGCTGTCATCGCAGTTAAATCTCACTTTTGTGTCTGTCTTAGTGTGGGGAATATTTTCAAATGACCAGTTGGTTTATAGTGCCGTGTCTGTTGGCGCATAGTAGTCAAGCGTTAGACACCAACCAACAAAAATAGTAGCACTACTTTATAATAAGCTTATTGTGTGTTGAGTGCAATTTTTCAGCAGCTTAGAAATCAAGAGCATTCGACTGGGAGAAACTGACAGTAATACTTATGTTGCGAGTATATTTTTGAAGCGGGCATTAATTTATGGTAGGATTTAAATGAAATCTAGTTCTGAGCACTTCATTAACATGATATGGCGAAAAAGAGTTAAAAAAATGCTGCCTACTTATAAAACTGTTGGAGAATATTTGACTCAGAAGTTGAACACTCACTGTGCACTTAGAAATTCGCAGATAAAAGACAATTCTCAAGTATTGGTTTTTGTAGGGATTTTCTGTGATTGGTTGAAGGATTTCATCACCAGCTGAGATCAGTTAGACAGCCTGTGAGACAGTAATTTGTCAAAAAAGACATTGCGAATTGATCGCACTATGTCATGAATTGGTAGAAGTTAGAACTCATGGGCTGGTCATTCAATAGGGTCCCAGTGGCTTAATAGTCTACGAGCTCGCCTTGAAACCAGAAGGTCTTGGGTTCGAATCCCGTTGAGTGCGTACTGATAAAAAGTCTCAGACTATGATGAAAAAGATATACAGTACTCCCTGTTGGCTTTCCAATGGTTCTCTAACCGAAGTCAGCTCATGATGAAATCATATAACCAATCAAAAGACAATTCAGCGAAGGCAATTTTCTTTATCGACGAAATAATTTTCGGAGGTTGTACAGTCGTATTTATATTCACCAAAAATGTATAGTAGTCTATTACTAAGTGATAGGGCTGACATAATTGATATAATTACCACCAGAAAGTGATCTTTGCATGCTACCGTAGAGCTAAACAAAATTTCTTTGGTTACTTAGAGTCACAGAATGCCCTGAAGACAGCCAAAAGACAGTTATTTGCAATAAAATTTGCGGTACCATTCAGCAATCATGTAGGAGAAGGTGGAGATGGATCGGGCATACATTGAGGAGGCCGCTAAATGACAAGGCAGTCAGCCACAGGAAGCTCTGACTGATCTAGGCTTCGTGCTAGTTGGCACTCATTAACCTTGAAGGAACTCATGTCCCTTTTGAGATTCGAACCGCGTCACTCATGAGTGCTACAGTCAGAGACGTTATTGATGGAAATCTATTCGGGGCTGGCGACTGACCTTTTGTAGGACTGTATTGGATATTTTTGACTGAACACTAGTCAGTAACTAGTGCAATGCGTCTAATCTTTTATTTGGTGCAGACTGAATTCTGTTGGTCAAGTTTGCAATGTGCCGATTGCCTTCAACCATCGAATACCAACAATTCAAAGTGCACAGTGATGGCGAGCCGTCTAGAATGTTAGTCAAACTTGACTGATGCAATGCAGTCTGCACCAAACAAAGGACTAGACATGTAACATTGGTTACTACCTAGTGTTCAGTCAAAGGCATTGATCCTTTTTGATGAGACCGCCACAAACTTGATTTTCAGAGTGACCTTACTGTTATGGGATTAATATTCTGACTATTTCTGATACTCTATTTGAACAAATAATTCGGTACATACTTTAGTGAATGCGTGAGATCGGAAGGTAATTATGACATGAAAATAATGCATAGGAAATGTATCTGTCGCCTGAACATTTTTAAGTTTAAATGAACCGCATGTTTTCTGTGTGAACATAAAAATACGAAACGGACCGATATTGACAAGTCTACGTTTTTTGTCTGTTATCTTTCTAATCAATAAATTCATATTTTACTGCTGTCGATAGAGGTAATGGATACAGAATTTGAACAGCATACTACTATGTGGTCTAAAAACAGTAACACATTTGATTGCATGGAGGATTTAATCATGAGCTGACATCAGTTAGAGAACCACTGGAAAACCTGGGAGTACTGGACAGCTGTTTCGTCCTAGTTTGGGACTCCTCATCAGTACACACCCACTGGGGTTCGAACCCAGGACCTTCTGGTTACAAGGCGAGCTCGTAGACCATTGAGCCACTGGGACCCGATCCAATGGTTCTTGAATTCTAACTTCTGCCAATTCACGACATGGCGCGACCACTTCGCAATGTCTTCTTCGATGAGTTACTGCCTCATCTTCGACACACACATTTTAAAGTGATACGCTCAAATCCATACAACCAAGGGTGTTCGCCACTTAGCATTCTGTAAAGTGCTCTGTTGTTGGTTTCGAATCTATAGGGGTAAATAATTCCCCAAAATTATTAGTCTACAGCGTTCATCACTCAAAATCGGACTCTGACCTTCATTGCGTAAGCCGATTTGTTAAGCTGATGGTTTGCCGTCAAGTATCCACTCCATTTTTCACGCTG